CTACGAGTTTCGATATCCTGGTTTAAAATCAATATTTCATAAATTTCTAAAATCAATCAGCGTTTATTTCAGCTTGAAATACAAACTGAGGGTGGCAAGAAAAAAGCAGTGTCGTCCACTGCTTGACGGGCCTCGCCACCCTTACAAGTCAGCAGTGTAAACGCGGTAAAAAATAATATATATATACAAAATGAACAATACAGACAAAAATGAGAAGTACAGACAAATTATAGAAAAGCGTTCCTAAGGACAGAAGAAGACATACCATTCAAGTGATCACATAGAGGAGTATTCAAAAACTTAGGCAAGATATATCGCAACATTGTAAAGCCATAGTTCGTTCTACATCTAGGTAAAACAAAGCTGTCTTTTTCCCTGGTTGCATAAGGCGTATTGTGGGGCACAGTAGAAACAATACGTGAAAGAAAATTATCGTTTTTAGCTATACTATTTTTGTAAAAACACGCGAATCTATATTCAAATAAATTATATACAGGCACAATTTTAAACTGCGAGTAAGCCTGCCCGGTTGGGGAATTATATGGAGCTTTTGTAATAGCACGTAGCATTTTCTTTTGCAAGATCAGAAGCTTCTGAATATTGGATGTTGTGGTATTACCCCAGACAAGAAAACAATAGCTTAAATATGAATAAAAGAAAGCGTAATACAAAGTAAGTTTAGTTTTTTCAGGTAGAACGTACTTATTACGCGAGGTTATTCCTACAACCTTAGAAAGGGCAAGACAAACCTCGTTTATGTGGGCGTCCCATGTCATCGTTGCGGTAAAACTTACACCGAGGGATCTAAACGTTTCTACATACTCGATAATGGTGTCACTCAAAACTAAAGGCGGTGGGTGCATTACAAGCTTTCCTTTAGGACGAAATATTACAGCTTTAGTTTTTTCTTTGTTGATTTTCAATGAGTTGACTAATGACCACCGTGATAAAAGTAACTGAGAGTAATCTTAAACCGCTAAATTACAACAGGTATGCAGGAAAACAGGCAAGAGAAGCATAAAAATTATTCCTTTTTATTAAATATTCACATAACTGCTCTCACACTGTTATCTCTCTCTCTCTTATTTTGTTCTGTCCCTGACAGCCAAGAAGAAAACTAAGACGCTTCACCGTATATATTATTCATAAATGACCATATCGTTACTGTCTGAATACACTATCCAGGTATAAAATCAAATGTGAATCCATTTCTCTAACTGGGTTCGATAACGCCAACTGGACATCCCATGAGATAGGCTAGATTGAACGCTGTCGCCTGCCTTTTGCTTGTCCTTTCCACTCCTATTACCACTTCCTGTTACGCTAGATGCTTTTTATTTGCGCCATTAACCCTCTACACCAGCTTACAGAACCCTTCTTGAACCATGGACTTCAATTTTACTAAAAGGATGAGTTCATCCGGAATCTGAAACTCGCTACCAGCCATTTCTGTGTACCGATTTGTGCATGTAATGGTTTAGATGTAGAGTGCCGCAATCGGCCGGGGATAATGTTTCAAGATCTGTTACACAAAACCGGTCCACCTCTCTGACCGCGACGCCCCTTTCATATTACGTAAATGCGGTATGTTCATCTCCCCAATGAAATGGCAAGCAGGAATTATCAGGAATAAAGCCTCGACGCCGACACGACTGACTCAGCCTATCCTAGGACTTAATTCCCGGGAGCTACCGCAGGCGAACTGTCTGTTCACCTAATGAATCTCTTGAAGCAGTTTTGAAACCATCTGGCGAACTATCTGAAAACTACTTGCGATCTATCTGGAAAGAGTCTTCAAACTATCTGACAAACTGTGGCAAGCATTTGGCAAGCTCTTTGGAAACTATATTCGGCGAACTATCTGCAACTGTCTTAAAACTCACTGGGAAACTCTCTTGTAGGTGTGCGGCCCACAGTCTAAAAAATCTTACAAACTGTGTGAAACGTTTATGGCAAAGTAGTATCTCAGAACTATCTTAAAACTAGCTGGATAACTACCTTCAGACGGTCTTAAAGTACCTATCAACTACCTTCAAACGGTCTTGAAATATCTGTCAAACTATGTTTAAATTATCTTAAAATTTATTTCGAAACTATCAAGATTTTTTTCATAAAACAAATCCGTTTGGTAGAGATTCTGAAAACGAAAAAGAAAACTCTCTGAACACTATTGGGCAAAACATTTGAAACTTTTTTTGAAAATATGTGGCAACTATGTGGAAACAAGAAAATTACACTTACTGGAAAAGTTTTATGGGAATTTAAAACCCGTTTTAAGTTGCATATCTTATATTTCGTATATTTTGACATATTTCTTTAAACAAAGTTTACTAGAGTCTATATTCTGCTTCATACTTAGTGTACAACGCTCTAAAAACTGCTGGTGCGAGCATGGCCCTAGTAAAAAAAATTATATGAATTTTTTTCTGATATGTTTATTGGACACCTTTTTCATATCAGAACTTATTATTTCATATCAGTTTCCTATGCCGCATATCAGTTACACTAGGCTAGGTGGCGCTAGGTACCGCCCAATTCATGTGCTGCAAAAATATATTTATTTACTCACGCCACCATGTAGATACATTACGCATACCACTAGCATCAGTTGAACAAATACATTGAGGGCATATACACATACACGGCACAACAAACATGAATACAACAGCACACCCAATAACTACTTCGGAGCTCTGCGTTTCCGCCTTTTATACAGGTCGTTTTGTAAGTACGAAGTTTTTCGGTGACCTCCTACGCAATAAATAATATTTTCAGCGTGTTGGATTTTTTTCAGTAATGTCGTACCTCTGAGAGTATTTAGAACGGCTCAGGGGACGAATCTCCTAATAAAAAGTAAACGCTCATGCCGTAATTATTTGAAAGCCAGTAAATCAAGCCGCTCCACTGCGGTTCCAAGTCACGTGTTTGCTTTCCCGCGCGGCACGTCGTATACTGAAGAAACTTATATGAATTTATTTCTTATATGTTTATTGGACACATTCATATCAGTTGGCAAATGTTGCATATCAGCTCTTATATGTCGCATATCAGTTTTTGGGTATTTCATATCAGTTCTTATATCGCATATCAGTTTTTGGATATTTCATATCAGTTGGCATATGTTGCATATCAGTTCTTATATGTCGCATATTAGTTTTTGGGTATTTCATATCAGTTCTTATATCGCATATCAGTTTTTGGATATTTCATATCAGTTTCATATGTCGCATATCAGTTTTGAGATATTTCATATCAGTTCTTATATAGATTCATATACTTTTTTTCAGTAGGGGGGGTACGCGAGCAAGCAAATGATCTCGCAGATCATTTGCACGCGTTCTCGCGCAAACGAAACCATAGATAAGGCCACGCCCGCGTGCTAGTAGCTGTGACAGTGTTCTATACTAATTATGAAACGAAGTATACGTATTTTCCAAGGTACCGACATTCTTTTAAATCTTTATGTCGAAAGACGTCTTGATTTCTAGAGTTCAAAAAATCTTGTAAGCGATTTTGGTTTATAAACGTTTTTACTTAAAACGTGATTCCGATTTTTTTGTTTTGTTTAAAATTGATTTTTTTGCGGTGGAAGGTTTTGACAGTATGGTAGACGGGCTTGAGATTACAAATTAAACCCATTGCGCCTTTTGTAGTACTACAACCTGTAAAATGTTTGGGAGGGAAAGACGTGCACGGATATCAGAAACCTTATATCGGGAAAACAATAATAAAAAAAAATGTTACTCAAAATTAAGAGATATACAAGCGGCATTTTTATTAATTTTCAAACTATTTTTAGTTGTTTTCAAAACGGTATTTCACTCCTAGTTGTAACATGCTGAAGGAAGAATTAATATAGAATTATTATGATCGGGAACCACAGAATGACTATAAGTTTTCGGGTAACTTGTAGAGGCTTGTCAAATGATTGTGGCAACCTACAATTCAACTCATTTTATCTATTTTTTTTTTCTTTAAGGGCCCTCGTGTGAGGGAATTACATAGGGATAACCTAACAATAACCTTCACGCGTTTGACGTTTCTTTGATCGAGTATTTCAGGCTAGCCCTGGTACAGCTCGCCCGCGTACCTCATTGATTTAAGAGACGATCTATGTAAAAAAACAAAAGGTTTTCCATGTTGGTTGTTGTGTTGAACTTTTCATCTCCAATTCGAAATGATTAAAACCACTGTTTTACTGGGTGCTTAAATGCAGCACCTTCTCTTTGAATCCTATTAACATTTAAAGCTAGTTCAAGAGCAAGCGAGTTTAAATTTGTAAACAGGATGCATGCAAAAACTGGCATTTTCTTATGGGAACAAGTAAGAACCCCGATAAATAATAATTATCTTGCAAACTTCATTTTAAAAAAGTTTTAAATTACTGAGTGCTTATTCTAACATATTAAATCAGTTTGAGATAATGTAATTTTATTGAAGGTCACTCCTTTTTCCCTTGGATTGAATTCCGTCAGAACTTTACGAATGTTTTAATATTTTAGATGCCTGGAAGTTATCTGCGAATTATCTATAAACCATGAAACTTGTCTGGACGCTGCCTATAAACCCTGAAGACTATTTTGAAACTATCTGAACCTCTCTAGCTAATCATCAGGGAATTTCTGTGAGAACTAGGAAATCGATCCTCTTCATGGAAACTTGTGCAGTATAGTTATCGCAGATTCACAGCCGAAATAGTTAATAAATTTCCAAAGTGGTGAACTTTTTGTTTATTCTTATATCCGAAGCAGTGTATCGATGCATCGGCAGTCATTTCCTCGATTTACAAATTTAAGAACATCATAAAGAAAATAGGAAATTATCGTAGACCGTACGCAAAAACACTGCCTTGCTGGTGTAAGCACTTTTCGTCACTTTGATTACTGATTGAGCGTGCGCTTGCGGAGCCCGGAATCCGCAGTGTGCGGTCTATGAAAATTACCTTCTGAACCAAAGCCCGAACCGCCGTTCTCGCAAAAGACCATTCAAAAAGCACTGACCAGTGAGGCTCATGTCGAAGGACTCGGCGTCAATCTTCCTCAAGTCCTGGACAGTCCTCCAGGTAAGCGTGAGCAGCTGGTTCTGCGACAGGTCCACGGTAAGCAGGTTCGGCGCCCCTAAGAACATGTTCGCCGGTAAGATCCGCAGCCGGTTGTGAGAGAAGTAGAACTTCTTGAGGCGCGGCAATCCCTGGAAGGCCAGCGGGTCCACCTCCGAAACCTTGTTGTATTTGAGGTCCAGTTCCACGAGCGCCGGCGTCCCGCTGAAGACCCGGGCGTCCAACCTCTGCAGCTTGTTCCGGAACATGTCCAGCCGTTCTAGATGGTCGAGGCCCTTGAATGTGCCCTCAGTCAGATGTACGATCATGTTGTCGCTCAGGTCCAGTTCTTTTAGCGCACCCAAGTCAGCGAAGGCCGTGTCTTCGATGCTCTTTATCTGGTTCCGCTCTAGGAATAGGTGCGTCAGTGCCGACAGACGCGAGAGGGCGTGAGCAGGGAGCTTGACGAGCTTGTTGTCGCCCATCTCCAGTTTTGTGAGGTGAGGCAAGTCGGAAATGGACTCCTTTTCCAAGTCGGTGATGTCGTTTGAATCGAGAGATAGCGTCTTTAGTTTAGGCAGGTTGTAGAAGGAGTGAGTCTTAAGCGAGCCAAGGTTGGCTTGAGTGAACTTGAGGCTCTCCAGGGCAGGCGCCGCGGAACGCAGTGCTTCTCTCGGAACAAAGTGGAGATGGTAGTCACTACGGAACGTGCTGAAGGCAATCGAAACGATCGATGGCTGATTCTGGAAGGCTTTAAAAACAACGTGATCTTCTGTGAGATTTCTCACAACAAAGCAGGTGATTTCGACGTCGTCCTTGCCGATGTGTTTATTCTCGCACTTGCAATACATCGGCTGGTCCCTGAGATCGCAGAGTTCAGGGACTAAGTCTGAGTCATCGCCAAGCGCTCGTTGTAGCGTTGAACACAAGAGAAGAAAAAGCAGACTGAAGAATCTGAAAAAAAAAAATGGAACTGATTAGGATTTTGGCAGCATTTCAAACAATAGTGCACACTAGATGAAATTATATACATAATTAACATCTTCGTGAATTCCAGGCAAAAATAGATAATCATGAACTGACTAGTATTTACCATCATAAAATACTTCTTCGAACCATTCAGCTTGTTGATGACGGTGCCACGCATTATATAAAGAAAACGTAGGTGCCCTCAGCTATTATTGTGTTTAGTAACTAATTTTAAATCGTATGTCAGAGCGTTTCTCTACCATCTTTGCCAAATTACACGCGGTGAACTTAAGAAAGCACCTTCTGGAATTCTTAAAGTGGCTGCCGACGTTTTTTAAAGATATGCCGGGCTGCTTTTAAAGTTTTCACCAGCTTCTACAACACTATATATATATATATTTTTTTTTTTTTTTGCAAGGCGTTTGGCGATTTATCCACAACAAACTGCGGGAGTTGCACGGTCTGCAAAGACACTGAAAAAAATCATTTCTCCTCTGGGATGCGGTACAGGTCATAATGACTCATTCTCTGGCCATGTTTCGAGTTTCACAATCCCTACTTCACTACAAGGTTTAGACTTCTTTCAGCCTTGTCATCCACCGGGTTATATATCCGTATAGATCAAAATGTCTGACTATCCGAGTGTTCCGTTGTAAAGTGAAAGCACGGGTTTGGAGTGTATGTGCTTTATTGATAACCCCTAAAGTCATTCTACAGCTGAAAAAAACTCACGACGTTGCTTATAATGTGATGATTCTCTCTCCGGCATTCTTACCGAGTAACGCAGTACTCTTGCCTGTGGAGCGATAACAAGAGGATCGGGACTGTCATGCCCGGCGTTTTTTAGGCTGTCACCAACGTAACTAAGACACTCAGTTTAAAAAGCTCACCCTTGAAATCCGGACCGCTCGCCTCCACCAAGACCTAACTATATCTGACTACAGCTCCGTCCTTTAGCGGCAAGCCAAAACATGCAAGTTGTATTATATAGCTACTGCAAGATGGCGCTGCGAGATAGTCACACTGGCCCTTGCGCTACCCGACTGAAGAACCGGTACGTGCATCCGTGCGATTCCCGGAGTGGCCGCTGCGGGAAAAATGGCGGCGTTGCAATCGCGTCTCGTTCAGTTCTCGAGTACGGATCAGAGCCACTTTTTCAAAGCAGGCTCCTATGGCGGCTTCCCAACTGAGTTGTTCTTGTAACCTTGGCCGTCACAGACTATTGTTATGGTTTGAACGTTCAGATGAAAGTGATCGCTTTGTTGGGGGTTTAGTGCCTAAGTATACTTACGAAACGTCAACAAAGGAATGGATTTCAAGCATAGGAAAAGATAAAATTGCTATTCCTAGGAAATAATTGAACCTCAACTAAGACTGCAAACCCTTTCTATACACGTGTTCTTTTGCGCATTTTTTTCTCTTCTGTGCGTTGTAAAAGGGTGAACTCCTCTGAGTGGGACAGTATTTAGCTAAAAAATGGATTCATTTGGTTTACAGATATTACAGATATATTAGAGGGATTGCACGGGTAGAATAGTATCACGCACGCAGACAAAAAATGGAAATAAGATCAAAGAAAAAAGGGCAGGCAGTGGCCACACGGCCACAAGTTTAGGTGTGATAACGTCTACGTGCCGTGTCTAGTGAAATGTAAGGCATGTATCGGACGTAACAGATGTATTTATAAGTAACGGAATAATACAAATATCAAATGAAAAACATTTATTTGTTTATTACAGAAACAATCGAATGTAACAGATATTTAAATGTGAGGTAGACTTATACAACTAAACGATATATAAGAAACCGAAAGAAACAAATATCAAGCCAGAAAAAAAGCCTATTCAACCGCACGGCACACAGGAAATCGCAAACAAGTGCGGATCGAAACGCGAGTCACCGCATCACCGCGGCCGCACTGGACATGCGATGCGTGTCACTTGATGGCGGCGTGCGTGATGTCATGCCAGCGCCTGACGTACTATGACCATCTTGGTGGTGCATGTCTCTTGAAGGAATGGAGATATCTTTATGATTCTTTCACCATCACGTTTGGCTTGATGTGGTATATTAACGTTCGACATTTCAACTATATGTATATAATGGTAGCGGAAACAGAGGCCTTGACGATAAATTGCAGGCTTAAGTTTCAACTTCCACGCGGAGTCAATAACACAGTATTGTAACAAGTTACATGTTAGGACCTATGGTGCACTGTGCAGCGTATGTCTATTCAGCTTTGATATGATACCAAAACAAATTAATCGAACGGCACGTCTGTTAGCAACAGTGAGTCAGACTGTGCTGATCGCGCACTCTGACGACTCATCGAAAACGTCATTTCATTTCGCGCCTGCGGGAGATGAAACGGCGATTTGTTTTAGAGCGCAACTCTTAGGCGCCCGTTTCCGGCTTGAGCGGCGTCGGCGTCGGCGTAACCGTTACCCCCCCCCCCCCCCCCCCCCCCCCCACGGACCTAAGGAGGACTTCGGGTTCCTTCGGGAGGACCTCGGGAGGACCTCGGGTTCGTTCGGGAGAACCTCGGGAGGACCTCGGGAGGACATCAGGTTCCTTCGGGAGGACCTCAGGAGGACGTCGGGTTCTTTCGGGAGGGCTTCGGGAGGACCTCGGGTACCTTCGGTGACCTCAGGGAGGGGGGGGGGGTCACGTGACCCCCCCCCCAAGGTCACGCGACCCCCCCCTCCCCGAGGTCACATGACCCCCCCCCCCCCTCTCAGTCTCCTTCCCTACTCCTCCTCAAGAGCTGCGCTCAAATTCGGCGTTAGAGGGAGTCGCAAACGGCTTTCACTTTTTTATCAAGATTTTAGCACGGCACAGAAATAAGACTGGCAGAGAAATTCACGAGGCTATTTTTATTGCTAGCTATGAAGCGGACATGTGTGCCAGCGCCCCGTCGACAAGCTTTATAGTTTTGTTTTGTCGATGATACCAGGTATTTGACGCATTTATATTTATGTTGGAACGACAAGATTTATAGAAAAGTTACCTTTTATCGAGCAGGCATTCGCACAACTTGCTATCTTTCTAAAAGCCCCCCCCCCCCCCCTTGGTCACGCCGCGTGTTTCTCATGGCCGCCACACGCGGCTGGAGGTCGGGGAATATTCTAATTTTTGCCTCGCGATTTGCCTCGCGCAATGGCAACATTTCGAAAGAAGGAGGTGTGTTTCTCTCCTTTGTGACAAGGTGAACAATGTCAAAAGTAGAAGATGCCAATTGTTTCAATGTTAAAATTGTTGCACAGCTCCTTTAATGTTAAACGTCGGGCTCAAACGTTTTTCGACACCGGCAATAAATAAACCGTAACGCTTTATTTGAAAATATTCAGTTTCTTTACATCTCATTGTCTTAATTCCAAAACGACTGCACCGTATTTGAGGGTTCGACGGACCCGAGATTTGTATCTTAGAAGCATAGCAGCTTGTGAAGTTACATACAATGTTAGCTGCAGTCATCCAATATTTTTCAGTGCTGTGTCTCTTCTCAAAATATGCTTAGACAAAAAAATTGACACGTCCAGAAAGAAGACCGAACTGCAACTGTTTAGTGGATATGCGAACAAGAAAGGAGATGAGTGCCTTAGAAATTATATAAATACGGTATTTGGGTAATTATGTTTATTTGTCAGGTGTTAAGGCTCATTCACACAGTTTCGTTTGTTGCTTGCGTCGAGCTGTTGCTATGGTGACCCTTACGGCGAGCCAATGGGGAGGCGCTGTGCTGCCCGACGCAACACAGTACAACGCCGTCAACGCAGCCGTGTGAACGAGCCGCAAGAACGCTTCAAATTGTGTCATTTGTCGGGTGCTACAAAAGTGATTAGAATTTTACAATTCCGTAAAAGATGATCGTCTGATAGAGTACGCGGTTGTCTACGTATTTTTATGCACAATAAAAATAGAAGCTCTCAGAGAACTTAAACGAGAGGAACATCTGACGACAAACCATCAATAAAGAGATATGGGACAGTTATAACGCATATTCTCTGAGACAAGAGGAAGAAAACCAGATATTCAGTTAACCAGAGAAGGATTGCCTAGTACGGTGTTACGCTTGTGCTAAAGTGTAGGCTGAGAAACTGTCTTAAGTGCCTTAGATAGATCTAAAAAAAACGGGTTTGGCCTGGTCAAACCAACAGATGTTGGCTTTTTTCCCCTGAACCTGTTGCCTGTGCGTAAGTATGGAAAAAATATACTGAATTCGAATTCGAATAATTAATGCACAAATTCGATTATATTTGTGAAAATACACCACTGTCCCAAAAAAAATCGAATATTGAAGTTCGATTAGTCTCAAACCGCAAATATATTCTGGAACACCTAGAAGAGCTCACGTAACGTCTAAAAAATACGGTGTCACGGTTCAAAACGATGTTTAACGACGTTCTGGAAAGATTAGAATACAACCCAGAGGAATAGAGGAAATACGTGAAAGGCTCAGACAATAAGACGGGACAGGCATTCCGCCAATCAGCGACGCGGGTCGGTTGGTGGCCAATAATGTTAATTAAGGGAGACTCTTTAATAGTGGTTTTGAATCTATATTTACGTCCCCAATAGTAGTTTCCCTGTCCCCATCTCTTCCCTTATATAGAGAAGCATGTTAGATACTTAAATAAGCCACGAGTGTATATTTAATCTGGTCAATAGCTCGAATGAAAACAAAACAATTTTGGAGTGTAGTAACATAGTCGTGTACCAGAGGAGCACTCTAGTATTTCTTCCAGCCTTCATTTTTTGCATTATTTCATAGTTGTGATACCAGGAAAACCACCTAGCGAATGGAAAGAAGAGCACGTAAAGCCCGTTTTCAAAAACCGGCCAAAACGATAGAGATGACAAATATAGGCTTCCTTCGTACTCAGCCTAAAGGGATTAGAACCTATAGTTGAACACTGTGAAATATATAGTTTAACACTTTTACGACCACAAAAGACTGGTCGTAAAAGAACTCTTAGGGGTTCTTC